CATCCAAAAGCAAGTTTTTAGACTGTTGTAGTGACCACGATATCCATTTGTTTTTTGTCCTTTATTTGTGGCTCACTCGTGGGGCTGACCGACAAATAGACGCTTGTAGTTTGAGAGAAAAAATATAAATGTCCAGATGCGAGTGGAGGAACTTCTTTATATTCAGGCTTAGGGAGTAACAGATTACTTTTAACAGATACAAATAAGGTAACTGGATTCTAGGTAACTGGATTACTAGCAGGATTACAATTTTGCAATACGTTTTGAAATAATAATATAATAATTGAAATAATAAATAATAGTGAACATTACTCCATATTTTCTGTTTGCGGACGTGAACCGACGACCCTAGCTCCCAGTCCAAGCCCCTACTGACTGAGCTGCCCGACATATAAGAATGGAGACATGTCCCAGCAGAGAGACTAAATACAAATATGAACCTGAAAATTAGACTAAGGTGGCCCCTTTAATATGACACATCTTAATATTAAATATCTTGGTTTTCTTCTTTTCTAAGGTCACCTTGTTCTGTTGTCTTACATAATACACTTAAGTAAAAAACATCTTATTGTTATTTTTTCATTGCATTTGATATTGAGGTATTCCAAAAGTAACAGTAAGTAATCAGGTTATATTACTTTCCTATTGTGATACTTTTGATTAGGTTAATGATTAAAAATGTTAGCAGGTAACTAGTTATTGTAATTGAATTCATGTTTATTATAGTTAAACCTTTAGTCAGAATTTAACCGACTGACACAACAACACTATAGACTTGTTGTGCAGTTGCAATGAAGAGCGGGATTGTACTGAAATGGTTTTGATAGAAAACACGATTTTCTAGTGTTGCTGAAATAAGCAGCCGATACATCTTTCTTAACTTCAACAACAGCTTTCTGTACCAGTCACACGTCTCCCGTGCCCTGTACTACGAAGCCAGTTCCACAGACCCTGGATATGTTTGAGTTATCTGGCTTAACTAACCCTACCAAACGCGATCTCGCTACGTGGTCCTACGACGTTGGTTATCAACTCGGTAAATCAAGCCTGGGTTTCTCTGTCCGGCTGAGAGCACGTTCATGTGAAAGGGCCAGGGTTAGCAACATTTGACCAATCACAAACAGGGACAAGCGTACAGACAGCGCAGCATCATACTTCATGAATGAAAAGTAAACTATCACGTTAGACAAATATGAAGAAATTAAACTTTAAACATCCATGAAAGGGGCAGATGCCCCTTTCTGTGGCTTTTATCCTAGTTTATCTGTTTAAGATAAACTAGGATAAAAGCCACAGATGCCCCTTTCACACCAACGCGGTTCCAGGGCCGGTTTGGAGATAGAGCTTGAAAAGCACCGTTTTTTCCTGATCACACCGCTCCGGAATCCGGTTCGTTTCAAGCACCAAAAAATTGTCGACCTAGAAGTAAGAACCGCATACATCACACTTGTAGAAAACGGCTTATGCCACAATAGGATAGCAACAAGTAGTCAAGTTATAGTCAGTTTAGCTTCGGTTGCTATGCTAACATCACCTATTTTATACCAGAGAAACTTTCATAACAGCGTTGTGATGCCAAACAGCGTCAATTCAGACTGACACACATTCACTTATGGGGAATTGGGGATATGTATCAGCTGCTTGTGTGACAGTCGGACAGTGAATACTTTACAGCGGCCGCTGCTGTGAGTTAACGGGAGAATAAACTCCTGTGGAAGAGCAGCCACTACTGCAGCAGTCGGTAAATGCCGCTGTAACATATTAATAAACAATGAACCAAGGCACTCTGGAGAAAAGTATAAGGTTGGAGAAGTCGTTATTTAATTTAATCTGGCTTCGAATGATTAAAAGCAACACGATCCTCGACCCGACGCAGTCTCCCATTGTTGTTGTAGTTAGCGCCGTTGGGGAGAAAATCAGCGACGTAAACAGTGACGTCATGACGCAGTAGCGGCAGCTGGACGGTGTGAACAAGACGGGGACTGAAAATAAGAACCGGTTCCGAACCAGAAAAGCTCTAGCACGGAGCTAGAACGGGAACTGCGTTGTTGTGAAAGGGGCAATAGTGAATGCAGGGTGAATACAAAACAGCTTGTAAAAAAAAGTTCAAAACTACCGAGTGTTTGAATGCGTATATTAACAGTTTATGATATCACTGCCCCATCTAAGACATGAGTGGATCTGACTTTAATTGCATTTGACTGTTTCTTCAACTTAACGTGTCGCTTAAAATAATACTTCTGCATGACAATGTAAGTGTTGCACGGCCAGATACGGCTGGAGAAGCTGACTCAGATAAGGAAATATATGATATATTATGATATTATATGATCGATGATGTGATTGATGATGTGATATGAATGATAAGTGCGACACGTCGGCGTCTTTCCTGCATACGGCAGTTTAAACTGTATTTCCTTTATCCTGTAATATGACTTGATCGCTTTAAACTCCGCACACTGAGCTCTGATTGGTCAGCAGGCGGTGCTTCCACTGAGTTGATCTCTTATCTGGAACATAACCTGCTCCGGAGCAGGTTAGGTGTTCAGCATAAGTTACCATGGAAATCTACCACGGTAAGAAGTGAACCAGTGTCGTAGGACCGGAAACCCAGAGTTAACCCTGAAGTTACCTCGCTAACCGAAAATCCTGCTTCGTAGTACAGGCCACTGGTCTCTGTACAGCTGAATTATTCAGGAAGCATACATCAGCCCTGGGGAGTCCCCAGAGCCTCTCACATGAATCACACAACTGGATTCAGAGTCTGCTGTAGATACAACCAAATGCTTTCCTTCTGTTACGCTTTGTGTCTGTCATCATCACACAGGGATGCCTGGAAACCAACAGTATTCAGCCCCATTAGTCAGCGGTTGTTTATCACGCACAGTCCTTCTCCAATGCTAATCACCAGTGAAAATAATTAGAGTGAAATTCCTCAGACTGTTCCAAACCTTCCTGGTCCGTGTGGAGCTTGTACATTCAACAAGGTATACACTAAAGTAAAGAAACGCTCGCACATGTGCTATTCTTCTCCATTTCCCACATGGTCATAAACAAAGCAGGGTGAAATGGAAAATCAGCTTCTAACATTGTGAGGTCCTGAGTGTTGCAATCAGAGTAAAACGTTCTCACCCTGCTGAATATCACACATCAACGCTGAGTCACTGCTCCGTCTCCCCCTGTAAATATTAAGACCCAGGCAAAAACGGAATTCGCTTTTGTCACCTACAATACGAGAGACTACCAATTAAGCAAGCCAAAATGATTTATTTGGGAAATATACAAAAGATTTAAGCAAAATTAGTGCACTTTTGTTTATTTATGTCAACACATTAATAATACTGCTACTTCAGGTCCACACAACATTCAGTGTATCTACACCTTCTATATAAACAGTGGGTAAGAAGATTCAAAACATATATCAGACTCAGGAAGTGTCATCATCTTATTCAGCTTCTGAATTATTTAGTTTACAAAACTGTCAAACTGTGTCTCGACTGAGTATTCCTATTCATCCTAACAGTCTGTTCATCCCAAACCCAGAGCAATTTTAAATGCTTGATTTGGTAAATTTGAATATTATTTACCTTGTTGTTATATTTACATAAACAGTGGTGGAATGTAACTAGTTCTTCTTTCTGTGCAACTTTATATTTCTCCTCCACTCATACAAGATATTGTACGTTTTCTTACACTTCATTTACTTTGAAGCTTTATTAACTTGTTCCTTATAGATTCAGATTTGTACACACAACACATAACCACATAACTGTGATGTATGTAGATTAAAATAAGTCATAAGACAAAAAAGTATAGTAAGTAAAAGTATGTTTTTGCATAAGAAACATTTCACAGTTCCAGCTTCTGAAATGTCAAGATCTTTTTCCCTTAAATATTTCAATTTAAAAAACACAACGTTTTTTTCTAGTATATATAGATTTGTGTCAACACAGCAGCATATATATGTCTCTCTCAATGACTTTTAAACATCTGTCTCTCTTCCTGTGCACCCACACAGTATACCATAATATATTTATTATTACATAAAATTGAAATGTTATAATTGTATACAGCCAAACCGAACAACTATACTCTGAGTGTTAACAATTTAAAAACAAATGTGAATATTTTAACATTCGCACTGACTGTGTCATCACATAGGTCAGCTATATATTGGTTGTCTATATCTGAAACACAGCACAGGTAGTACAGCTGTTTTGAATAAGACATTAGTCATGCAGTTGAGACGTTTGTATGTCTTAATTACTTTAATGTGAGCTCAACCTCATATCACACTATCATGCTATATGTTTGGACACCAGTAGCATACGTGCAGAAGATGATGAAACACTGACATATTAATACAACAGTAGACTATCCTCCTGGATTCTGACTGCAGTAACACAGATGAAAGCAGCAGGACAACACAGTGTGCTGCTCGCAGACTGACACACACAGGATGGATGGAGCAGAGAGAACACACACTGGAGAAAAAGAGTGTCTCCAGTCTGTAAAATATATTATCGCAGTGGTTTTGCTTATGTGGAGTATTTGTTTCCCCTCCGTGTTTTTGCACCCACTGCATTGGCTCATTCTCATTCTGTTCAGATCCTGCTTGCAGCCAGCAGAGGAAGCTGATCTGGAGCCAGTTCACTCCTGGGGAGCCACATGTTGTGCTTCATGATGTGAATAGAAAGACACAATGTATGGAGACAATGGCTCTAAATCTGCGATGCAACACAAGCTCTTATTGATAAGGCAGCCCCCCGGCTGACATCATCTCCGATCAATCAATGCGAGAAAACCCCAGAGCTTGTTCAATCGACAGAAATAATGCGTTATAATATATGTACCTTAAGGATGGACTGCTGCTGTATGGGGGGCTACAGACAGTCTGCTGCATTCCTCTACACTGTCTGCCTCAGTGACAGGACTCACAGTAACGTTTCTCTCAGACTCTAACAGACCTCAGGAGTTCTCCGCAGCTTTTGGAAACTTGCCTGTATTCCTCGGATCCTGTTGCAGCTCGTTCATAGTTCGAGCTCAGAACATCCCGATCCTGTTGGGTGAACGGTATCCAGGCTGTGCGGCACCCTGATGGTGGCACCCCGCCGACACATCATCTCCTCACACCCCTCAGGACTGAATGAAGACGACCTTTGTGAGGACAAGAGCGCAGCAGATACCGCCGCTCTGCAGCTTCAGAGGAGCAGCTCTGTGAAGCAGACTGGGACCTCCCCTTTACAATACTGGGCTTTTCAAAATAAAAGCCGCACAAAGACTAACGTGATATGCACTGGATGTCTCCGTTTCTGGACGAGTCAGAAATGACTGGAATTAAGTTCTCCAAAATCCGTAATGCAAACAAATATAAATATTAAATTAAATTACTTTTCATTTAGATGATCCTTTTATCCTGTGGTGTAAAGTAACCAATTTACTCAAGCTAAATTGAGACCCGGTCCGTAATCCGTGTATCTACCGTCCAATTGTTTTTCTTTATTAAACACCTAAACGGAAGAGCGTCTGAGAGGCCTTTTTGCTTTTTACCTGTTTTTACCTTACTAACTGGTCAAATGGTCCTTGGAGCAAGGGGCGGGGCGAAACTCACGGAAGTGATTTCAAAACAAAAGCACTCGTTTGCTAAAATCACACTTTGAATCACTACAGTTTCCTGCTGAAGGACCGGTGATTATTATAAACAAGGGGAATTTAGCGATCACAACGAAAACGGCCAAGGCACATACTGAGCCCAGAAAATTTACGTTATTAAGGGCTGTAAATATAATAAGCCTATGTCTAAAATGGACAACATTGTTAGGAGATTTAAACTATACTGCGATTCTGCACTGCGGTCAACTCAGCCGCCTCGCGAGTTTGTTTTTTCAAATCAGCTGCTCTTCATTATTCCTGCTATATTTGACGAGTGATACAAATATTTGTTACCACAAGTTCTTAAGGAAACTGACACTGTTGGACTCGGTTCTAGTTTGACTTCTACCAGAAATAAAACGAGTACTTTTACTGTGTAGGCCTACCTTGTCAGTAATCCTCTTGTCATAGTCTACATCAGGGGTGCCCAACCTTTTTTGAACCGAGAGCTACTTTTAAAGTTGCCAGTCTGCCGAGATCTACCAGTCCAATTAGAGAGGCGTAGCCATTACTGATAGCCTACTGCCAGGTAAATACACACTTCTACTTGTATAAAACTGACCTTTGTACGATTAATACTTCATAAAATACTGCAGATCCTTTATCTTACCTCTTTCTAATCTACACACATACAAGTATTTAACTGAAGTTACACAACAGTGGTGTTGATACAGAGTTGGAGTTTATTCACACGTCACTACAGTGGGTAATGTTTTCAAGAAACATTGAACAGTGCTGCCACATATGACACAGGAACAAAAGAAAAGACTCTGAACCCTTTCTTTGCCATTATATACAAATAGTGTTGCTACAAAAGTATAAATTAGGCTTACTAATAAGACAACTCAGATCTGAAGCTACACAATAAAAAAGACAAAATTAATAGAATCAAACCCTTTTTTTGTTGCATTTTAGTAGATTATAAAAATAAATGCCTTTAAAATAGGATGCAAGCAACACTAGTTTCTTAACCTGAATTGATAATAGATTATAATCAATTTAAGTTTGCATTCTTATACCATTTTGTACAATAATTATAATGAATAAGTTCAAACAAACTCAAACTTACAGCTGATTAATAACGGTATATAACTTGAGTTTTTATCATATCAAAAACCTGTTGAAAATGCTACTGTTATTTTTATTACGCATCGGCAGCCTCCAGGAATGCTTATTTCACAACTTCGCCGTCTTTGAAAGACTTCATGTGTTACGCAAGAACGTGACTGACACATTAAGATGCTATGGTAGCAGCCTTGCTCTTGTTGTTGGGCCTGGTGAAAATGGACTGCTGTGCATTTAGCTGTCCTTTCAGGCCCCTCCCCTTTTGGGAGCGTAGGGCAGAATTAGGAGGGAATTCCGTCTCGTAGCGTTTGTGCACTGTTTTGAAATGCCGCTCCTAAATTACCCTTCTTCGATAAAGCCACGCTCGCATTGAAGATGAGACAGATGGACTTTGAATTGGAATAGATACAAAAATAATCATCCTCCCACTCGGAGTGAAAATTATATATGTTTTGCTTCTGCCATAATTGCGGTCTTGTGTGTGTGCGGACTGTCACTCCTGGTGTTGACACGGACAACGTTAGCGAACTAGTGCAATGCCCACTGCCCACCAGCCACGCCCCGACACATGTGGTCACGCCGGCCAATCACAAAGCTTTGATGCGTTCAAGTGCATTATTCTGGCACAGGAAGATTATGTTATAGGACATTAACGATAAAACTGAATATTGTTGTTCTATTTTTAGACACATCTCGCGATCGACTGGGATTGGGAATCTCCGGTCGATCGCGATCGACTGGTTGGGCACCCTTGGTCTACATAATGCATGTTTTTATGCTATCTTTGATGAGTGTTACAAATATAATTTTACCATTAGTTCTTAATGAAATTGATACTGTTTGACTTTGTATTTTCTACTACTTACAATACATTGAAGTACTTTTACTGTGTATTGTTTGAGAAATCCTCTGTCAAAGTCCCCTGCTGAGAACAAAATCAAGCCACTTCTGCTAAGTTTGATGAGGGAATTCTTTTTTGTTGCCATTAGTTCTTCGTGAGATTGATCCTGTTGGACTCAGTAAGGCAAGGCAAGGCAAGGCAAGTTTATTTATATAGCACTTTTCAACACAAGGCAATTCAAAGTGCTTTACAAAAAATGAAAGAGATTAAGAAAATGGCAGTCATTAAAAAGAAAAGCTAATAAAATAAACATTAAAAGAAAAAAGTACATGGATAAAAGTTACAGTGCAGTCTAAGATATGAATAGTTCAATTAAAAGCAGCGACAAAAAGAAAAGTCTTCAGCCTGGATTTAAAAGTAGTCAGAGTTGTAGCGGACCTGCAGGTTTCTGGGAGTTTGTTCCAGATATTTGGAGCATAATAACTGAACGCTGCTTTACCATGTTTAGTTCTGACTCTGGGGACAGAAAGCTGACCAGTCCCTGAAGACCTGAGAGATCTGGATGGTTCATAATTTAGCAGGAGGTCAGAAATGTATTTTGGGCCTAAACCATTCAGTGCTTTATAAACCAGCAGCAGTATTTTGAAATCTATTCTTTGACACACAGGAAGCCAGTGTAAAGACTTCAGAACAGGAGTGATGTGATCCACTTTCCCCCCACAAGTACTATGAAGTACTTAGTGTACTTTTCCAATAATCCTCTGTCCTTCCATCAGTCCCAGTCAACGCCTCCAGCACACTTCCAGTGTCTGACTCCATATGATATTGTCCTGATGCTGTAAGGGTGATGCCCCACACAATGACCCCTAGAGTCTGAGTGCCAAGGACCTCATATTATGTCGTTACATCACCCATTATAACAATTTGCTTTCCTTTTTCTCTTCTCTTAACTGAATAGCCCTGTCTTTAAGTATAATACAATGTAAAGTCCTTTTCCTGCACCATTTTAAGGCTTAAAAACGGATTTTTACTGTATGTGTTTGGAGAAATGACACAATCAATGGCCCAGAATTGTACTTTATAAACTCTGAATCTTGTGGTGCTTGAAGAAATACACACTGGCTAAGCCGGCCAGGTTATATATATATATGCCTTTTTTGGAGCAATTTTTTGCAATATTTATTAAAATGTCACTAGTTATTTAAACAAACCACTATCTGAGGATAATACAAGAAACCATAAAACACCCTTTACTTGAGCCATTGAAGCCCATGAAGAATTGATCCTTTCACAAATATGTTCAACTGCTGTAAGTTAGGGCACTCTCTGTGCAGACAATTTAAAATATTCTTCATTTGCAGTATTTTTTTTAAAAAGTGTTCAGAAACACTGCATCAATTATATGCTTAATATATCATTTCAAACCGGAGAGACGTGATGTAAGGAATACATATTTATTGTTACACGTCATATGAATTAAATGATTGCCATGATAATACAACAGGAGAATGGAATGGTGTTTGGCGATTAGGCCCCGGTTTGCAGGATAATCATTCAGGAGGGAAAGAACCGCTCCGAAGAAACCCCCGGGGTCTAGACACTGGTGGTGGTGATGAGTAGGTGGGACCGGTCTGAAGAAGGAAGGTTTAGCTTTGTCCTGGAGGAGACGGGAGGCGAGAGGGGTGGAGGTGGGTTGCGTGTGGTCACCTGAAATGACAACTGACAGGGAGGAAGAGCAGGCATTTAAGGAATTTAGCATGTGCAGCAATTGGCTGCTGAGGGGTGACGCCCTCGTATTTAATGAGGGGGGAGGGAGCAATAGAGTGACGTGTAAGTGGCTCATTGTTAGGTCTTCCTTATTGAACTTGCGCTAAAGCTTTCATTTCAAACCGGAGAGACGTGATGTAAGGAATACATATTTATTGTTACACGTCATATGAATGAAATGATTGCCACGATAATACAACAGGAGAATGGAATGGTGTTTGGCGATTAGGCCCCGGTTTGCAGGATAATCATTCAGGAGGGAAAGAACCGCTCCGAAGAAACCCCCGGGGTCTAGACACTGGTGGTGGTGATGAGTAGGTGGGACCGGTCTGAAGAAGGAAGGTTTAGCTTTGTCCTGGAGGAGACGGGAGGCGAGAGGGGTGGAGGTGGGTTGCGTGTGGTCACCTGAAATGACAACTGACAGGGAGGAAGAGCAGGCATTTAAGGAATTTAGCATGTGCAGCAATTGGCTGCTGAGGGGTGACGCCCTCGTATTTAATAAGGGGGGAGGGAGCAATAGAGTGACGTGTAAGTGGCTCATTGTTAGGTCTTCCTTATTGAACTTGCGCTAAAGCTTTCATTTCAAACCGGAGAGACGTGATGTAAGGAATACATATTTATTGTTACACGTCATATGAATGAAATGATTGCCATGATAATACAACAGGAGAATGGAATGGTGTTTGGCGATTAGGCCCCGGTTTGCAGGATAATCATTCAGGAGGGAAAGAACCGCTCCGAAGAAACCCCCAAAGAAGTGAAGTATGACATACTGAGCTGTAATGAGTTTCTTACCTTGTGGGCTGACTGCGGTGATCTATGGATGAAATGAGAGATTAACATGTGGATTAAACAATCGGCCGGAATCACTGCCGGGCTTACT